ATTGGGGAAAGTGGTGGATAGAGAAATTAAGATCAAGACACAGAAACTTAGCATTTCATCTAATCCTGTAAGAAAGAAGCTTGGGCTAAAAATACAAAGGTTGGCTCATCAGAAAAGAAACAGATTTATAGTCAAGAGAATGAATGAGATCTAGAGAACTGAGAGTAAGCCAGTGGGCCCAGCCCTGAGCCCTGGAGGACTGAACATTTAAAGACTGAATTAGAAAAGTGGGAGAAACCTGCAAATGAAATAAAAACATGACTACTGTGGTCCCCTGGTATGAGTGGAGGATTGGTTCTAGGATTCCCCCCCATAACATGATAATAAAATCTGCAGATGTCAAGTGCCTTATATACAATGGCATATAACCTACACACATCCTCCTGCAGACTTCAAATCACCTCTTGATTACTTACAAAATCTAACACATTGTAAATTACACATAAATAGTTGTTATATTGCACTGTTTATGGAATAATGACAAGGAAAAGGTTATATATAGTTAGTACAGGCACAATTTCTTTTCTGAATACTTCCAATCTGTGTTTTAATCCACAGGTGCAGAACCCACAGGTAAAGAGGGCTTACTGTAAGGGGAAAGGGGAAAGCTCAGAGCCAAAGTGTGCCATCTGGACATACGTCGACATCTTGGCACCAAAATTAAGAAGGAAAATTTTAAGAAGATTTTAAAGAAGGTGTGCTGAATACTTCTAGGAGGTTGAGGAGGATAGAGACAGAGTGTGGGTGAATTTAGGATGAAAGTTGCTGACCTTGACATAAATAGTCTAAAGTTATCTCAAAATTAATATGGGCAAAAATGATCTTCCCTTGAAAACTTATTCCTCTTTTAGATCCTCAGGTCCTCAGGTGGTGTCATCCTTGACTCTTCTTTTTCTTTTAGCCTCTACCTCCAACTCACCAGCAAATCCTCTTGGCACTAACTTTAAAATATATTCATAATCTGACCATATATCAGCATGTCTATAGCTATTATGTTAGTCAGCTTTCAGCTGCTGTAACAAAATACCTGAGAAAAAGGTACTCCTTTAAAGGAGTAAAAATTTATTTTGGCTCATGATTTCAGAGGTCTTAGTCCATGGGCAGCTGGCTCCATGGTTTCTGGACCTGTGGTGAAGCAAAATTTTATGGCAGAAAGATATGACAGAGCAAAGATGCTTACCTCATGACAGTCAGAAACAGAAAGAGCACACACCTGAGGCTGGGAACAAAATATCCCCTTCAGAGACATCCCCCCATTGACCTACTTCCTGTAACTAGTCCACACGTCCTAAAGGTACAGGCACAAGGTTCCACCACCTCCCAATAGCACCACCAGCCAGGGATCAAGTCTTCAACACAGGATCCTTTGGGGGACAATCCAGATGCAAACTATCACAGCTATCATGCTAGTGTGTCTCTCCTCCGCATCACTACAATAGCCTCCTAACTAATCTCCCCAATTCTATTCATCACTCCTTACCAGCATATCTTCAACAGGATGATCCTTTTAAAAGATAGGCAGGCCACAGCGCTCTGGCCAAAGCAGGCAATGGCTTCTGATATATACTCAAAGGAAAAGCCAAAGTCTTCACAGGACTATAAGGCCTTATGCATTCTGTCTCCATACTTCCAACCTCCCCGCTCCCCTTCCTGCCATCACCCCAATATCCTCTCTTTCTCCTCTCCTTGAGTCTTTGGGGTTTTGCTACACCAGCCTCCTTGTTCCCAACTTGGGGCTTCCGCTCTGGCTGCTCTCTGTACCTGAGATGCCATCCTCCTTCCGCATAGCACACAGCCCACTCACGACTCGGTCAGGTTTCTGCTAACTTACTCAGCGAGGAGTCCCCAACCCTTATTCTGTTCCTGCCATCTCCTTCCTCTGCCTTATATTTTACAATACTTAAAGCCACTCCCCGTATTCTACACCGTATTTGGATATTTAAAGACCAAGGTTATTTCCCGGTCCTGCTGCTTTGAGATTCATGTTTATTTCCTTAATATCTCAAATAGTGCCTGGCACTCAATTATTTGTCGATTGGGTGAATGAGTGGTGAACTACAATGGACCAGGAGAGACAGACGAAAGGGTGTGGAAGACAGTCCATATTACTATTAGAAGGAATTAGCATAAGTGAGTCTCTGGGCAGAGGCAGTGCACATCAACAGATGAGTGGAAGCACAGCACGGCTACACTCGCATGGCTTAGACGATCAAACCAACAGATTAAACCACCCAACAAATGAAATGCCATGGTCCAGGACTGGGAAAAACTCAGGCTTCCTATTTTATTTCTTTTCTCCTCATTGTCTCTGGACTATTTTCTTTCTGCTACTTTTCATCCAAGATGTAATGGACAGAATTCTAAGATGATCCTCAAGATTCCTACCCACCGATTCCTGCATAATTCTCTGCCTTTGAGTATGGAGGAAACTCTAGATATAATAGAACAGTACTCCCTTGTATTATGTCCAAAATGATAAGCCAGAGGCTATGGCACACGTCTGTAATCCTAGTGACTCAGGAGGCTGAGGCAGGAAGATCACAAGTTCAAGGCCAGCCTCAACAACTTAATGAGACTCTGTCCCAAAATTAAAAATAAAATGGGGCTGCAGAAGTGACTCAGTGGTTAAGGGCACCTGGTTCAATCTCCAGTACAAAAAAAAAAAAAAGATAGGATAGACACCCCCATGATTATATAACATTGCCATTATCAGATTGGAAGGATGTGCTGGCTTTGAAGAGGTAGCCACCATATTGTGAGAGGGAGTGTAGCTTATGGCCTGAGAGGGACTTCTAAGGTCTGGAAGGGGTCATCACCCAGAGCTGGTAAGGAAAAGGGAACCTCAGTCCTACAATGAAAGGAAGTGAATTCTGCCAATACCTTAATGAGCTTAGAGAAGAAGATCAGCTCCAGCCGAGATTGTGTCTCTGGTCAACACCTAATTTAAACCTGGTGAGAGTCTGAGTAGAGGATGACACTGACCTATGCTGACTCCTGACCAGTGGGAACAGTGAGATAACAAGGGTATAGTGTTAAGCTGCCAACCTTGTGGGAACGTGTTACACAGCAATAGAGAACTGAAACGCAGGTCCATGTTCGCCCCTTAGACAGGCACCAGCCGGGAGACCTGAGATTGCTGTGACAGCACATTACAACAAGGGAATAAGAGTGATAATGGAAATAGTCTTAATTCTGAATTGTCCCAATCACATGTTTATATCTCTATGCCCTCTCGCTGCAGTTTCCTAAGAAGTTCAAACCCCAGGACAAATGTTGCTTCTTCAAAGAAACGTCCCCTTGTGACTACCTCCACCCTCCCCTGAGCAGTACTCCTATTCTTTGCTTGCACAACAGTGGGTTTGTACATCTGCTAAAACTTTTTGCGAAGATACATCATAGTAACATTTCCTATGTCCTCCCCCTGCCTCATCCAAACTCTTCTCTGGGAAGAGCTGCTCCAGGCTCCCACATAGTGCCTGGCAGAGAGCAGGTGCTAAACAGGTGGATAAAAGGAGGCTCTGGATGAACACAGGCTCTGTGCCCAGGGTGGATGGCTGTTTCTTCTCCAGCACAGCTGATCAGGCCTCGGGTGTTAATGGAAACTTGGAGGGCCTTCTCCATGACAACAGCTGGGTGACTAACCAGGTGCTTCCTGTGCTAGAGGGGCAGATATTTACTCTCAGAGGGCTGGTCTGAAATGAAAGGTGTGTTGGAAGCAACACGTGACTGGTGCTGACAAAGATTCAGATTTTCCCCAAAGGGGAGGGCTGGCAGCCCTGTCCTGATTCAAGATACATGCTAGGTTTGCAAGCATATGGATTCAAATTATTTGTGTTAATGCACTTCTGAAACCAAATGTCAATCTAAATGCACAACAATCTCACAGAGTTCTTTTTTACTCAGTGGCTTAAAATGAGGGGCATTCACAGTATTGACAGACCCTGGAGCAGACAGCATTGTTTGGACATCACAGACTCAGGAAAGATGAAGTATATTCAATTCATTGGGTATAGTGTTTGTTGGGTATGTGTTTTAAGAAAACTCAAAGAGACTTTTTCTTTAGGATCCACTCCTATGGGTAAGAATCTTTTTATAAATAAATCATTAAACCACACACAAATGAAACACAAACCTTTCTAGTAAGTTTTACAACCACATTGCCATAAACTTACAAATATTTAGGAGGGAAATGGTCTTGCTACTCTGAAACAATTTAATTATTCTTAATTTATTATTCAATAAAATTGTTATATTTTTAATTTTTATTTTGTTTTGTTTTGGTAGCAGGGATTGAACCCAAGGGCACTGAGCTACACCCTCCAGCCCTTTTTTATATTTTTATTTAGAGATAGGGTCTCACTGAGTTGCTTAGGGACTCAGTAAGTTGCTGAGGCTAATCTTGAACTCGAAATCTTCCAGCCTTGGCCTCCGGAGCTGCTGGGATTACTGGCAAGGTGCCACTGTGCCCAGCTAAAAAACTTTTGACATAGTTAAATTCTTAATGTAAGTACTTCTTGGCTCCTCTTGTGTATACTGGAGTCATCTTAAGAACCAAATCAGATCATATAGGTGCTGTTTGAGAACCTTTTACAAATACTGCCTGGCATTGACTCAAAGAGGAAGGTTTCTGGGGACACAATTTTCCGAAGTTCATCAGGAAGGTAAAACGTGAAGTCTGGAGCCTAAGCTTTGTTTAGGGATACCACTGAAGTGCGCCCCTTCATCCATTAAATATTAGCTGAACAACTATTATGTAGCAGACTTGGTGCTAGGAGCTAGGGCTACAGCTGTGAATTAGATATAAAAGGTCCCTACTGGCATAGGATTTATATTCTCACATGGGTATGTGTATATATATATATGTGTGTGTGTGTGTGTGTGTGTGTGTGTGTGTGTGTGTAAAATGTGCAGATAGGAAGAAAAGGAAAACAGAAAGTCCCAAAACGATACTACTTATTTAAATTGCAAATAGTCATATTCCGTCAGAAAACAGTAAATACCTTCAATGCTCTGTGGGCCCACAAGGTTCATGGCCTGATGAGCTGGGTACTCCACCCGTGGTCGGGCAATGCCCAATTGCTCCATCACACCATGGAGCAGCCTCTGGATATCTGTTTCTGAGACCCTGTCAGGGGTCCGTGGGCTATAAGCAAATGCTGGAGTCCAATCGAATGCCAACCAAAACAGCAGGCCAGATAGAATGGTAGACACCATCCTGGAGACCATTTTTAACCTGCAGAAAGAACAAATTTCCATCTGTTGCCTTGTCTGTCAATTGTTATAACACAGCTGTGGCAAGGACCACACAGAACCAGACTACAGTGAGAAATCCCCAGAGCTTTGCTTTTGTCTTAAGTGTCCATGCAAGGCAAGACATCGCTATGGGGAGGAAATAAAGAAAGAAAACAGTCTAAAGTATGCAATTCCCTCTGATCTTGCATTCTTGAGAAAGCTAGGCTGGGATGACAGTTCTCACCCATATCATTATGCTCCTTGCAACTCCTTAAAAGTCTTACTTTACCTCTAACTCCACTACTCTTTCCCTAACTTACTAAAACAAAAACTTCCTCCAATTTTGAGAGAGGGTAACATCTTGAGTTTTTTCAGTCTCAAGAAAGAAAAGTCTAACGACAAGGAGTTAGGAAGATACAAACAACAAAGGAGCACAGAAAGTTTACAAGTGGTAGCAGCATATTTTAACTTTGCAAATGATCAATACATTTGAGATTGTGAGGGGGATGAAAGTACACACGGTTCAGGCCCTATCTTGCAGTCTGATGGGGAACATGAAGCATGCTGGGTGACCTTGGGAAGTACTTCAGCTTTCTCTTCTGCAGAAGGGTGATAATAATGATGTTCCTTATGAGACTGTTGTGAAGATAATCACGTAAAAACATGTCAAAGGGTTTGAAATACTGCCAGGCACAGAGTGCACCCTATTGCTATTATGATGTTGGTAACGTTGGCGTATAACTGTGCAGGTGATGACTTGGGGAGGCCGTAGTGAGGAGAAAAGACCAAGGAGAGAGTCAACCTGCCTACATGTTGGTGTCTATGGATATGCCTGCAAAACAACAGCATAATATTCATACAGCTTCCCCTGGAGCTGCTTAACCTGTTTAGGATGCAGGCTTTGGGCAGCGGTCAAGCACACCTCCTTTTGAACATTCTACTGGGGGTCGGGGGATCAGAATAGTACAAGGAGGCAAAGCCACGTATTTTCTTTCCTGAAACTGAAGCGTTCATTCCGTCCTTATTTTTTTTTTCCTATAAAGAAAGGGCTTTTTCTAGTCATCGCTAGATATGAAACCTTGCTCTTCAAAGAGCTGAGAACAGTTTTTCGTTGCAATAGTACACTGTGCAATTATGATGAAAAGGCCGGAGGCCTCTCCATCCTTCTCCATCTTTCCCTTATTGGCTCCGAATGCAGCGTATTTGTTTCCTTCCCACCCCAACGCGGTTCTGATTTGATGGACAATCTCCTCCTTCCTCGCGGACCTCCTTTACCCCTTATTCATAGCCAACCCCCGATCCCCACCACCACCCCGCATCCTTTGACCCCAACCCTCCCCACTCCCAGCCCCGAGGGAATTGCATATTTCAGTGGGCGTCAGGAGACCCCCGCCGGGTCAGGGTGGAACTCACCAGGGCAGCTGGGGTACCTAGCGCGGCCTGGGCCTCGGTCCGGGTCTGGCCTGAGCAAGCGAGCTGGATAGCTCCTGCGTCACGCCCTCCGCATCTTAGCTCCGCCCTGACCCCTCCTCCAGCAGGTGGCAGTGGCCTCCCGGTAGCTCCCGAAACGCTTCCCAGGGGCTGGCGCCTCTCTGGCCTGGAGCCGCAGCAAGACCACGGGTTCTGCCTACTCTGAAAGCGCCTGCAGACCCTCTTTCTCCCTCGACCCGGGCGGAGGTCTTTCACCTCCTTTCTCTTCTCAAGCAGTTATCTAAACAACGTGCCTGGCGGCCACTGTTCAGCATATCTTTAATTTTGTCCCGCAAACAGAATAGCTTTTTTAGTTTTTGTTTTTAATTAAGTCCTAGCTTAAAGAGGGAAGAGGCAATGGTAGACATGACAAAAGGCGATCCTAAGGATTTTTTAGACTGGCAACAATAAGATATATACTGCTTTCAGAAGTCCTTTTACTTGAGCAGTAAAACCGTGAAGATATTTAACATAAGACGCTAGAAACTTCTGTTAAAGTGGCACACTTGGAAAGTCTAAAAGTATTAGCTATGTTTTTTTTTTTATCTCCCTTTTTGTTCTATTTTTTTTTAAAAAAGTATACATTTATCCATAAAGCTGTACATTCTTCCTTATGAAAATATTACTATATTGTCTTTTGTGTCAGAATAGTTTACAAACCCACTATTCTTTATTTTTACTTAATGGGAGAGACAGACTTGCTCAAGAGTCCTGTTCTGGGAGTTTGTTGTTTTAAAAGCAAACATCAAAACCAAGAGGAGAAAGGAAGAGTTAAGCATAAGAGCAGGGGTCTGCTTCTAAAATGGCAGGGGCCAGTTTGGAGACAAGATGAACAAGGTTGGGTGTGATGACCCACGTGTGTAATCCCAACCACTCAGGAAGCTGAGGCAGGACTGCAAGTTCAAGGCCAATCTTAGCAACTTGATGAGACCCCATCTCAAAATAAAAAATGAAGAGTTGGTTCAGTGGTTAGGCACCCCTGGGTTCAATCTTTGGTTCCAAAAAAAAAAAAAAGAAATAAAGAAAAAAGTATGAATACAGCATGCACTGATTCAATCTACCGCCCAGAAAATCATTCTTGAGTCTTTGCGCCCAGGGTTAACTTTAAAGCAATTAACATGGGAAATGGGATCTGGGAAGGTTTTCCAAAGGTGGAGTTCAAAAAGAAGCAGAACTAGCAGGAATGGGTATAAAAAGTGTTTGGCAAAAAGCACCTTTTAGTCCAATTTGAGTCAAGAAATCCAGGAAAGGCAACTGGCTGAAGGGAGGGGAACTTGGAGGTAAAGGAATAAGGTGGAGTTGGGGATTCCTGAGGAGCAACAGGAGGATACCCAGGTTGATCAGATATTCTACCTGCTTAAAGGTGATTTGGTCTGGGAAACTTGAGGCCTTCTGAGGACCCCTCATCAAAGTCTGAGAAAAATGAAGGAAATGGATTTCTTCCATTTTTCTCCAACCTAGAACAGTATTAAGATAAAGACAAATGTATGTCTAGGGCAACCTCCCATAGGAGCTCAGCACCAAGGAGAAAAAAAGTGCTCAAGATTTGGCATTTAGTGCCAGCTCCCCAAAAACCCAAGTAACATGTAGAACAGGATTACCTGCAAAACCCACCAACCAGCCAGCCATAATCCTGAGCTCATCAGGGCAGCAGGAGGTTCTGAGACCCTGTATTCTGAGTTCTATTTCTAAATTCCCTCACCAAGGAAAAACTACATTCTGCAGAAACACAAATAGCTCCAGAATTTATGTTTTGTGGTTCTGGGAATCAAACCCAGGGGCTTGTGGCATTTCTAATCTTTAAGGAATTAATTTTTGAGTAGGGATGCCATGAGGTCCTGAGCTTCCTCCACAGTATCCAAAAGAGAGAGAGAGAGGGAGACAGAAAGTATCTAGGGTTTTGAGAATAACTAAGTTAACCTGATGAGATTAGAATCTACATCTCTTTACCTTAGCCTTATGCAGCAAACCCATTATCTATTGTAATTCTCTGCAGCAGGACTAGAAAAAGTCATTCATGAGACACATGGCCTTTGGTCTTAAGGCCTAGCCTCCTTCCTAATGTTTTCTCTTCCTTGACTACTTTTCTGTTGTTTTTAGGCTCAAAGACCATTATGTTATTTTTTTATTTGGTACCAAGGATTTAACCCAGGGATACTTTATCCTTGAGCCACATCCCCAGCCCTTCTCTAAAAATTTGAGATAGCATTAAGTTGCTGAGACTGACTTTGAACTTGCGATCCTCCTGCCTCAGCCCCGCAAGTCACTGGGATTACAGGCATGCACCACCATGCCTGGCGTGGTTTTAAATGTTTATGATTGATGTTAACTGAGTTCTTTAAGTCCTGAATTCTATTTTAGTATTGTTCACTGTTAATGCCATGAAGTTAACATTATCTCTGTTCTGTGTAAGAAAAAGACATTAATTCAACTCTAAACTCTAACTTTTTAGATTTTCTCCAATTATTGTTTCCAAGCTATTGATTTCCATACTCTCACATATTGTATTGCAGCTTTTAGCTAACAAAAATAGGAGTGGGTATTTAAAATAATGAACATCTTTCATTACTGACTCATCTCTCAGAAAAGCCAGTAATTCAGGTGATTTGTACAGTTAACATTCCATGCCTTCTTACTGCATTAGTGTTACAATTCAACATTTTACCCCTCTTCCCCACAGTTACAAAATGACATCAAAAACTTTAGAAGTGAAAACTGCTTTAAGTCAGACAACATAAATCTCAATGTAAGAATGCTTTCTGCCTCTACTTACTATTAGAAATATAGGCTGAGCATCCCTAATCCAATCCAAAATCTGTAATGCTCTGAAATCATTAGTGTTTTGAACACTGACATGAGGATCAAAGTTTCAGATTATAGATAAAAAGAAAAAAAAAATCTGGAGGTGTTGCTCAGTGGTAGAATGCATTCGGAACATACCCAAGACCCTGGTTTGATCCACAACATCCTAAAAAGTGTTTCAAATTTTACATTAGGAATGTTCCACCAATGAAGTCTATGTAAATATTTCAAAATCTGAAACATTTCTGGTCCCAGTTTAATTAAGGTATCCTCAACCTGTACCATAAACATCTAAAATGTATATATAGTCTATATTACAGACTTGTTTGATATCAGATAAACATGTGTATAACTACAGATTAGTTTTGAGAAATGATTAATTTTGAGGTTATAAATATAGAAAAGAGGACAAAAGCTTTAAAATAAATTTAGACAGATATGCTTGACAATTTGATTCAAGTTATGGCACTTTGGATTCCACTTTGGATTTGAGTCTCAGGCAAGTCATTTTGCAGAAAGTTATCTTTAATATCTATGCTAAATAAATAACATTTATACACAAGATAAAACCATCATAAAATTTACAGAGGTGCATCTACTATTCAAATTCTAAAATCCAGCATCTGCAATTTTAAAAAATCATCTTGATTAAATTTTCAAGTTCAATTATTCCTCCTTAAATAATTTCCAATTCTGTATTGGACAAAACAGATACAAATGTGTTTGTGCAAATTACTTTTAGAAACAGAGTATGGCCTAAAAATAATGTGTAAGCACAGTTTAGTCATCATTCTGCTTTAGCCATCATTGAACACAACTGTACATTTACAGGAGATACATAAACCAGATGAATCTGCCCCAAAATAGGAATAAAGTATCAAGATACCAGAGTGAAGTAAATGGATTTCCAGGAATTTAGGTAAAGACAATAACCATAAATATAATTCAAGACAAAAGATTTGTGGGGCTTACCCCTTCCCTTTCCATAGTACAGATTTTTTTTTTTTAAATAGAAACCTTATCTGACTTGAAGGTATAACAAAAAAATAGACACAACTTGTTTCACTCTTCCCATCACACATACAAAATAAAAATCATGCCATTTTCAAAAATTAATTTTTTCTAAATCCAAGCAACAATTTCTTTAAAACAGTAAGTTTCAAAGAGATCACAACAAAATTAAAGTTTAAATACTACTACAATTAAGAAAAACATAGTAGTCACATGTACAAGTATAAAAATCCAAGTTGTTATGCTGTGAAATTAAAATGTTTGAGAAAACCTACTGCTTAACAATACAAACTAATATGTGGATTATCCTACAAGTCACATAATCAATTGCTAATTTTATTTACATTAATGTCAAGTATAACATTTGCCTATTACAAATCTACAGGTTTACTTGTTGGTAGTAGTTGAGTCTTTCCAATAGGATTTTTTGGAGAACCTTTGTACCAGACCCTTTCTCTTTCTGATGGTTTCCTAAGGACCTTATTTTTTATCTCAGGAGAAAAACCCACATTGTTATTTACAACAGATTTTAATATATTATGATTAGTCAGGTCATCAAAGGGAACCTTAATTTGGCCATCCGATATCACCTCCTGCTTGCAAACTCTAGTAGACCCAAGAGAAGCATTCACAGAACCCGGGTGCTGCTTCTTCTTTAAGGAAGATGTAGAGGTTAACTCCACGCTTGATTTTGAAATTTCACCAATGACAGACTGTTCATGCGATGTAGACCTCTGACCTTTAGGAACTGACTTCATATGTGAAATAGAGGAATCTTTTGACGTACTTTCTGTACAAGAGGGAAGAGCACTGTCACAGCTCACTGATTTAACCAAGGGAGAAGCAACATCACCAAGACTTGCCAACTTCTGCTCTTTAGGTTGTCTGTTATATTCCAACAAAGAATTAATTCTTCTGACAGACTGACGGACTGGAGTGCGCTGAAACTTAAGAGGTGACTTCACTTTTATTTTACTTGGTTCATTTAAAGAAAGTTTATTAAACCACTGTATATGATCTGAAACTTTTCCATGTTCTGTCATTTGTAAACTTTCAGAAACCGTTTTTTCACATTTTTCTACAAGTGATCGTTGTTTAGCAATTCTCATAGGCCTGGGTTTAGAAAGGGCTGTTATATGACAAGTACTCTGCGGTGAGAAAGAGGATTTATCCTCTTTTTCCCTAGAAGCTGTACATTTCACTAAGTTCTCTTTGATCATGTTCTCATTCTCCTTTGATTTAGTATTTAGTTTATTTTGTGGGAACCACTGCTCCTTAATTTGTTC